GGGGGCTCCTGGGGGGGGTGGTGTGTGGTTGGAAGCTTAAGCGCTGAGAGTTCACGGGTGCACCCTGTTCCGAATTCTGAATTCCTCAACTGCATTGTACGTCTCATACTACCGTGATGGTCAAGGTCATGCTAAGTTGTTGCTATTGCCAGTATTGTCTTCGTTGCTAAGACTGCTAAGACCGTCGTTGCCAGTTGATTTGTACGACGGTGAAGAAGAAGGTGACGGTGATGATGAAAACGAAGACGATGTTGTTGATGATGCTGATGATGGTGATGATGATTGTGACTGTGATTTCCAGCCTGGTGCCATTTGTGAAGACGAACGATTCAGAATATTTGTTGTTCTCGCCATCGTACTTGGCCCTGAAGATAGTTTTTATGTATAGGAACCCGAAGCAGGTCCACTTGCCGAGTCGCTGCCTCGAGCGCAGGCAGAGTGAGGCTACCTGGCTTACCTGGCCCAGCCCACTGTCTCATAGAGAGGAGAGATTGCAAGGGCAAGAACAGCGGAAACTAACCAGAATCCTGACTCGATTATTGTCCCTGAAGCTTGAAATCCAAAGCAGCAGCACACTTCCAGAGCCTAAGCCCTAAAAGTTTACACTAATTACGCGTCTGAACGGGCTGGATACCCACGCAGAAAGGTTTCAACGACCTTAATCCCGAAGCCATTGTCATCCTAAGCATTCGGAATAGCCCTAATCGAGTAATTAAGGCCCCACACTCGGCCCTGCAGCATAGGGGTTCATGGCATTCCATCTTCAGGTAGTGTACATTTAACGCGGAAATGAGCAGAAAGGGCATTCCCTTGCCAATACATAGTATACCTACAGCCCAGGCTTAGTAGAGGCTTGAAGAACTAGACGAGTTTCTAGATTCTGGTTATGCTCAGGACACTTAAGGAATGGCCGTGCGAATTGTTCAGCCACTACCCCCGGACACCCCAAATGCTCGACGTCGACCACGGCAAGAGATGACTGATGCCTGCAGTACATTGGCCTCAATATTTCGTAGTACTGTCCTGCGTGTTCCGAATATGGCTTGTGTACACGATAGATAGCCAACACCCTGTTCAAGTACCCAAGAGTGTGTTTGGCCCGGAGTTTCGGTTTAAACTTGGTTGTCCATGCAAGCCCTAGTTAGACCCTAGATCCAAACCCTACACTGCTGGCCCCAAACCTGAAGCTTTGCACATTTGCTCCCATGAGCCATCGCGGCTCTAGCACCCAACATCGCCTAAACTTCACCCGAAACACCTTGCGACTCGAATCTTCTCTGCATATTTGCAAATTTCCAGGAGATGTCTCTTCAGTTTCACGTGTCACCGCCAACAAAGCTTCTGGGTATCAGCCGCCAAACGTTCCAGTTCAAAAGCTGACTCCTAAACTTGTAAGCCCGTATGCCCAAGGAGAGGTCACTAAATCTCCAACCCCGTGTTAAGCCCCACAGCCTGAAACCCTTCAGTTCTGATCTTGCGGCTGTAGAGGAACAGGAAGATAGATCAGGGTGGGTTTAGGGTGTAGGGGTTGTAGTGATACAGCATACACGCGGACCTGCGACGTGAGATTTGATTTTGTAGCAGCATGATTACCGTCGATCCTTGGTTGACAGCCCCTACTTTCTTTACTAGCCAGAAATTTGTAGATCCCTAATATAGTCCTTATGGATAGTATGACAGGGGGCTTTCTAGTGTCCGCGGAAGGAGTGAAATGCCAAAGCAACTCGCGTACATGTATGGTTGTGAATTTCTCTTGATTGTTGCAGTGCTTGTCCAACGGGCATCATCGTACTTTCCTGCGTAGGTACAGTGCCTAAACCCTAAAACCCTAAGCCCATCCTAAACCCTATACGCCCAAAGCCCTAAAACGAAAGTCGAGTACCGTAGAGAGCCCGGCAGACTCCTCCAGAAGACCCACCAGCGTGTCATGTTTAAGATCGAACCTTTGAGCCCTGTATAAGGTTTAGGGTTTAGGGTTCTGGGCCGCAGTCTAGGGCCTGTGGGTGTGGACTTGGGAGATCGGATTTCCCTGTAGCTCGCTTAATGAAGGAGATTGTAGACCCGTCACAGTGCAAGAATCACTCTGGTGACAAACCCCCAACAAATCATTTACTCTGTCAAGTACGAACATACATTGCTACTTTCTTAAGGCCAAATACCTGATTATTGCGCACTTTGGCGCATGGCCTAGTTATAAGATAGAGGCGATCCGTCTTGTGATGCCGGAAAGGTTTCTCAGGGTCGAAAATCCACGAATAACGGGCCATCCGATTCGGAGGCAAGCGGTATCCTGTGTCAGACTAGGGCTGGAGTCTGAGGAGAAAGCAACTCTTGGTTTGGGTGTTCTGTGTTGTAGGCCTCAAAGGTTGCTTGCTACATCTCAATGCAAGAAGGCTGAACCAGATGCCGTCAATTCTGGATGCACGGCATTTAGACAAAACAAGGCTCAACACTTCTCGCGCAGTGTTTGTGGATTTGGGATTTGCATTTCGTGTAGAGCAGCTAAGGCCATTCCAGGGTTCCCTTGAGTCCTCCCGTGCTGGTTCCGGAAAAAAGACGGTAGAGTATCTACGATCTGCGGAGTTAGGGAACGCAAATGGGGAGACCGGTGGGCAATGTAACGCCCATCAATATCTAGAGTGGCTGCTTCAACTTTTTCGCAACCTAATCTCCAGGTTCCACTTTCAATGGAGCGACTAGACTAGGCTAATGCAGATGCATAGTGAAGGTATTGTTTGAGAGATTTGGGTTTACGGTTTCGATTAGTAAGTAGGTGACCCTGCCCAACCAGGCATTGCTCTGCAGAACCCTGCGAAGCTACAAAGCGCTGTAATGTCGCATGTGCCACCGTAGTTTCGGTAAAAATACGTTTGAGGGGTTGATGGTTCATGAGGAGCGATAGGTGGGTTAATTATAAGAGCAAGCTCACTACATTTACTAGACTCACTGCTGACGCTGCTTGTAGATGTTCGTATTCTCCGTCAAGTTAATATGGGAGTTTCCCAAAAATAGGGGTACGTTATTTGGGGTTCTTATAATAAGGATCCTACTAAGGGTACTATATTGGGGTCCCCCATTTTCGGAAGCCTTTATATGGAGGCCCTAGTCTGGCCCCGTTTTTGCAGTACAAGTCCTCTAGGAAGAGCAGCCTGCTACTCGGGTTAAATGGGAGTTTCCGAAATTTAGGGGGTACCTTATGTCGGGGTCCTTATAATAAGGATGCTATTATGTGGTGTACTATATTAGGATCCCCTATTTTCGGAAATTCCAAATGGAAAGAGCTTCACGAGTTGAAACCCGAAACGCATAATCCTAAACTGCACCTTCAAGCAACCCCGCCTGCAAGAACGCATCCGGAAACAAACACCAGACTTGAAAGCCCTGTCTTTGTAACAGCTCCTTAAACTGATTGATCTTGTACTGGGCCTTCTGCAAAACCTGTGTAAACCTTTACAATAGCCAATGGTGGCTACTAGGGCCCTTGGGGACCTCTGGGTAAGGCTCTGAAAGTGTCTACGGCTTGAGGGTGGTTCAAGGTGCAGGAATTCTCCTCTCCTTAGCAACCACTAACCTGCATGCAGTCCTTGTTCAGGTTGTGATTCGGGTTTCGAGCATTTAGGGACCCCTGATTTTCTCACAGACCCCAAATCCGCATAAAGCAGCACCTTGTCCAACAGAAGTTGGGGCTCACTGCTTACCCCAAACCAAACCCCAAACCCTAACAACACAACGTGCGCAGGCCAAGTGTGGTTCTTCTTCGCCACATTGCTCCTCGGATGCATCCTCAGCCCTGGCCCTATAAACTACAACCCTAAGCCCCTAACTCGAAGGCGCAACAGTAGTCGCTTCCTGAATTAGCTGGTTCCATTGGATTGTGATTGCGGCTTTCACCGGATTGCAGTTGCCATGCCCCATCCTAGGATCGCAATCTCCTCGGCAATTGCAACTCTAAGCGCTTTTGGATATGTACTGCCCTACCGCACTCCCTAAACCCTAAACCCTAAACCGTTGGGCCAGGGAGGCCAAGAGCCCAAAGCCCTGAGCTCCCACGCATGCAAGCCCTGAGATCCTTAGCCGACAGAAGTTGCTTAAGTTTGGAGGAGTACAGATTCAGGGGGAAGTTCCTGGATTGGGGGTTAGGCTTGGGGAGGACCGAAGCATTTATGGAGGTTGATGTGTTGGAGCATTTGTGGCTTTTGTGGATAGAAGTTGTCTGTGAAGTTAGGCTGGGGAGGTCATGCTGTCTTTTGCTGTATCTTTCAGGCACAGGCATGGCATTCACAAGCTTTAGGGTTTCGAGTTAAAGCTGTGCAGGGGTCAAAGTTGGGTTTGGATCGACTTCGTTGAACACTGAACCCCGAAGCCAAAAACTGACAGCTGAGAATCCCCAAGCCTAAATCAGAAACTCCAGACTTCCCGTCCAAGGTCAACCGGAGCAATGCTGCAGCTTTCTCCGCGCACCAGCACTCTGCAGCCGAGGTGCTTATATGTATCCCTTGCGCTTCGAACGAAATTGAAATGGTTGGTTTGGTCTATCAGGGCCCTGACAGGTCTTTATACAGCCTCTGTAGGGTGTTTCAGGGTCGTTACAAGGGCTGAGCTTTGAGACCAGGGATCCGATTGGTTAGGATTGATATCACCATGTACCCATAAGGGTGTAGGGCGTAGGGCACAGGTTTCGGTTTTGTGCGCGAATGAATATACGGGTATGTACAAGTTAAAATTAAAACAGCGCGTACACACTGGATCATTATCGTCTTTCTTCGTGATTCCGCGCCCGTATTTTACACGTGCGTAGAGCAGTTACAGTCATTGCTCCAGGCCGCCAGGTTGATGATTTTAAATGATTTTAATGCTTGCTACTGCAGTTCCTCCTCTATGCAGCGATAATCCGTATCTCCAGGAGAGCATCACTGTTGAGATGCGGTTGCTTATCGTAAGACCCGCTCAGCGGTCGCTGGGCTCCGACGGTAGCCGAGGCTCAGCGAGTAGTTGCAGGAATGAAGCGAATCCCGATCTCCATCTCTTGGCACCCACTCTGGCCACGACAGACATGGCGTTTGCCCCAGGCTGTGGGAAGGAAGACCTCAACTTTCACAGTTTGCCACGACAAACCGCCGAGTCGAATTTGCTACGCAGACTTGACGCGAATGGTCGAGGAAGCACGGCACCCACTGAAGCGAGGACCTGGAACGTGCTGCAGACAGACTGGGTTTTCGAAGGCCGACTGCGGCTACCGGTATAGATCGACCCTCCGTGGATGGAGTTATATTGCAGCTGCAAGGGCCATTGGCCGAGACAAGCAGAAGGGCAGGCAGTCCGACGTTGATATGGATCATCTTCTGGACCTCGTGCTTGAGCAGGAAGGTCTGTGTGCATATTCTGGCATACCCATGGAGCTGCTGATACCAAACTCGCACTGGGGGGTTTCCATCGAGAGAATAGACACTCAACTAGGGTACATGAAGGGAAACTGCTGTCTGATTGCTGCTGAGTTTAATACGACGGTTCGAAATCCGCGGCATGAGGCTGGCACTTCTTGCGGGTCTGCACAGTGGTCCAGGCAGAAGGTCCAGCGAGTCGCACATGTTCGGACAGAGCAGGTGCAGTTGCATTCGCTGCAGGAAGACATTGCTGCTGCACGGTTGCGCCCGGTCCGAAGTCAGACGGCAAGTTCCCAGGACTTCAGAGGACCAGACTCAGCAGGCAACTGGCGATGTGGTCGCTGTGGAAACTGGCTGGAGATGGATCAATTTGCCAAGCGAACTGCAAGCAAGAATGGATTGCAATATCATTGCAAGAAATGCGGCAGCGACTTTTGCTCAGCTGTTCGGCAGACGCTGCGTGGGCATGTGCTCGATATGGTGAGGAATGCTCGCCACAGAGCTACCAAGCACCCATTGTGTGGAAGCTCTTTGCTCAATACGGACGACGTTCTTGAAATGCTATGGCTCCAAGGTGGACGCTGCTACTACTCAGGTGTCCCTTTGCATTGTGCAGCAGGGCCCGCTGATTGGGTCTGGTCCATCGAGCGTCTGGACAACTCCGTGACATATACTAGAGAGAACTGCGTTCTGATCGCGCGGGAGTTTCAAACAGCTGACCAGAGTCGCAACAAGGCCAAATTTCCAGTTTTCGGCACGGCTCAATGGTCAATCAGCAAGGCAGCGCACATTTGGGGGCCATACGTGCCGGGCGTTGGCGACGATTGTGAAGTCCACAAATAATAGGTGAACACTTCTCAGGATGCAGCCGAGTGTTGACCAAGGTACAAGGTCCAGAAGAAATTAACCGGCCGCTGACATGGTGCGTTCATACGACTAGCTGAATACCTCAACCGCTCTGTCATGCTCCCATCTGCATACTCGTTCATGCATGCATGCATACATACGTATATACTCAAATACCTACGCTCATACATACACATATACATACATGCATATACATACGTAGCTACCCCAGTAGGAATGTAAAGTTGCTGCTGAACCGAGAATCCTGCACAACACCCTGTGAAAGTCAATCTCAAAGCTCTAGTCCTAAACTGCGTAGACTAGTATCCCTCTCATTCACCTCTTGCAACCCCTACATAGTTGATGAAGTTTGCTTCACAAGACCACATCGAAGCCATGACGACAATCCGGAAACAGTGGGCAAAAGCACCCCTAAAGCCTGACATCGCAAAACGGTAAACCTGAACTCCTGCAACATCCGCAACCATCAAAGCTCAAGCTCCAGAGACACCCTTTAACATCGAAACATCGCTTATACACTTTAGACAATCGAGAACAAAAGCGATGCTCGAGATTCAGGACTCCTGCACCCTAGATCCTAACCCTAACTTCTGAAAACTCAAGCTCAAGACTAAATCTACGGCCCCTCCTAATACAAAAACGTTTCTTACAATGACACAATCGATCTCTGCCGCAGCTTCTCCTAAATCCCTCTAACTTCAAGCCAAGACTATACCCAGAGGCCCCAAAGTAGCTCCTGTTTGGGATTGCCTTATAGTATTCTCTATATTGCCCCCAAAAGGAACTACTTTGTGGCCTTTGGGTAGGGTTCTGGCAATGGGGCTCAGACTTCACGTTTAACCCTAGCCCCCAAAGCCGAAACCCTCCCCCAGAAGCCCAAGACCCCCTCACGAGCCTTAGGGAAGACTAAAACCCTGATCTTAACTTCAAGCCAAGACTATACCCAGAGGCCCCATAGTAGTTCGTTTTGGGGACCACCTTACAGGATTCTCCATATGAATCCCAAAAAAGAACTACCTTGGGGCCTTGGGGTAGATCCCTATAAACCCTAAATCCTTATAAACCCTAAACCCTATAAACCCTACACCCTAAAACCCCGAGCCCCTAAACCCTAAACTCTGCAAACCCCTAGATCCCAAGCGGGAGATCCTCATCTTTGCCAGGCCGCGAGCCGACGGGCGGAGCTCCCGAAAGCTCAGCTGGAGGAGCTCCGAGCTGCGCTGAAGAAGCTCGAGGCGCATGGCCTCAAAGGGAGTGGGGGGAGCGGGGGGGGGGGGGGGGGTATAGGTTTTAGGGTTTAGGATTTTAGGGTTTTAGGGTACTAGGGTTTAAGGGTACTAGGGTTTACGGTTTTGGGGTTTAGGGTAATTACTGGGGTCTAGGGTTTAGGGGTTAGAGGGTTGGATTTAGAGGGGATTCAGAGTAGGGTTTGCTTCTGGCGTATAGGGAGGGTTGTAATTAGGGTTATGTTTATATGGGACTTTTAAAGGGTTGAGGGTTTAGAGGCCTATGACCAGGCTTATAGGGAGGTTTTTCGGGATGTTTTAGGCTTGCAGTTTAGAAGGGATTTGTTTACAAGGGATTATTGAAGAATTGAAGGTTTAGGAGGCTTCAACAAGGCATTTGACGCTCCGGGTTTAGGGTTGGCTTATGGCGTAAAGGGTTGGTTTTGGATTTGTTTAGAAGGGATATATAAGGGATGTTTAACAGATAGAGGGTTTTGAGGCTTGTAGCTTATAAGGCTTACAAGGATATTAGGGGGGTGTTCTGCTTGTAAGTTGGAAGGTAAAAATGTGGGGCCTTAAGGCATTCAGGATTGAGGGTTGTAGTCTCGAAGACAGGTATGTTTAATTGTGTAAAGTTATGTAAAAGGGATTTTGGGTTCAGGGTGAATCCTAAACTTGCGAAAAATATCTTGTTTCGGACTGAACTCCTGAATTAAGGGCTGGGAAATGTGGCTGTTTCGGGCTTGGGATTTAGAGTTTCGGGTTTATGCCTGGTATTTTAGCTTCAGTCTCGTACTTAAAGTAAACCTTCTATACCCTGAACTCTACTAACCCTGGACAACCCTACACCTTAAATTGCATTTGAAACAAGTTCTAAACTTTCAAAACCCCTCAGGCACCCGGCATCAGCGCTTGGTGCGTAGCGTTGAGATCGCCAGGCTGGCAAACAGGGTTACCGCTCGCTTGGGACTTTTCTGCAAATTCGGATCTCTTTTCTTTGAATGGGGAGCAAAAAGCTCTCGATATGGGAGCAGACGGAGTGGGGGGGCCACCGGGGCACAATCATATATCACTTAAGTAATACATCGCAATTCTCGTATGACCTTGCACGAAACTGAGACCGGTACTCCAACCGGACCATGTCCAGTTCACGGGGTTGCGATCTGGGTCCCCGAGCTTCTCTTCAGCCTAACCCTTGTAACTCTAACATAATTAATGTACACAAAGTAGAATTACTCCTAACGGCCTTAGGCCTTAAACCCGTAAATTCGGATCCCCACGAACATCCTAATTCAAACGACCAAGCCCAACTTTTTGCGAAGGGTCTCGGCAGATTCTATGTTCGGTTTATGGTCAGCATCTCAAATACAGTAGGTAGTTCGTGTATGTTTGCACCTGCTTCGGGCTCTAAAGCCTGTCAATAGTGCCTGCTTTGTGTGATTTTGAGTCACAGGGCATAGTACCGTGAACTACCACAACCTACTTCTGTAGTGTCCCTATAAATTTTCTTCGTGATAGTTTGTAATTAAGCGGAACCTGCCAATAGTAGGTTGTGGCTGTTTAAGGTAGTGTGAAGCTCCGGCACACGGTAGGCTCCGAAGGGCACAGCGGTTCCGCCCCTCCGGCAGGCTCGTGTTTGGGGTTTGGGGGTTCAGGCTAAGGGGTTCAGGTTTTTGGGTTTCAGTAGTTGAGAGATTTGGTGGTTCAGGGGTTAAGGGGTTCAGGGCTTGAGGATGCTGGAGTGCGGTTGAAGGTTTTGTTCTCAGTACCTGTGCGACAGAAAACCTACCATTAGAAGCAGGCTGTGGGCCCTTCATTTAAGCAGTGATAACCGCCTTTGAGGCGACAGGTTTCGGCTTTGAGCAGCCTTCTTATGCAGAATTCAGGGGTCAAAGGTTGCGTATGGCTAAAGGGTAGGGCCATTGATTGGGATCCGTATGACAGCAGATAGACATCTGCAAGCGACATGCGGGTGCTTCTGGCCATGTAAGTGACCACCGACAAGTGGTCCTGAATCACGACCTCGTTTATGCAGTGGGAACACGCCCTGGCCGATCCTACGTGCTAGACCAGCCTCAGCGAAAATTTCACATCACAGTGTCACAACCTCAATCCCAAAGCGACCCTGGAACCACACCCTAGAGTTCTACACCCGTCACCTGATTCCCTCGCACAGCCTGTATATTGATAATCAATACCGGAACGCTTAAGCCGTTCAGCTCGGACGCAGTGAAACAACAACCTTTCGTTAACTCTTCTCCTGCTTCTGAACCTTAGTATGACCTTCCATGACCCTCAAAATCTATCATAACCGAAGCAAGGTATGACTCCCGAAAAACCGGTGTCCAGGTTCCCGGTAAGGTCTACCTATAGTCTCCATTGTAGTTCCTTTTCTTGGTTAACCAAAATCTCTATTATAGGGTCCTAACCATAAAATTGGTTAACCAATAAAAGGAACTACAATGGAGACTACAGGTATAGGCCAGTGAAATGCATTGGCCACAGAGCTAGTCTACAGAAAGCCCTTCTGATCTATCCACAGAACCTTTTTTTTTGAGGATAGTTTACAGTCAGGAGATTCTATGGACCCATACGTTATACGACTTGCTTATTTGTAGGTTCCTACTATTTACGTAGAAACCCCCAATATGGAATTTATAGGGCTACTACAAAAGTTTAGGGTTTGGTAGTTCGTGCTATAGGCGACTTACCTACATCTCGCTGCGTTTAGGAGCGTGCTGTGTGGCGCATTTCGCGCTGTGGGACGAGGCAGAGAACGTCTGGTGAACCTGGGTCTTGTTAATCAGATCCGTGAATAATTGGAAACTTGATGTGCTGAAGTCCAAGCGTAAATACCATACCCAGAGGCTCATACCCTGCCCCTTGTTTCGGACACCTAGTTTTATGGTTAAGACCTGTTGTATAGAGAAGTAGATACCACAAACGAGGGGTAGAGTATGAAGTATGAGCCTACAGCTCAAGTGCACAAGTACCTCAACGCCCCTGTCGGTACACCGAGAGAGAGACCCCGGCATGGAATAACTCTAACTAGTGCAGAAGCTGCTGCCCGGGAGTTCCAGACTTGAGCCGTAACAGAGAAGCTCCGGAAAAAATGCCATCCCCATCTCGCGGAGTTTATCTTTTCGTGTTGCGTTAGAGTTTGTTTAGGCTTCCTGAATGTAATGTATAGGAGGATGGTGCCCGTTTATCAACAAGCTTCGCAGTCTGCTTGATGTCTGTCACCCAACTGCTTGTAAGTAATCGCCACTCATTCTGCTCAAACGACGACACTGTCAACGCCTTAACTGCATCTGGTAGCATGCGCAAGCGCGCCCAGCAGCATTCCCTCATCGTACTGCAAGCAGGGTTGGAGCTCAGCTCAAACCTTACACAAAACCAATGTTGAAACCTACTAAAGTAAACCCTTAAAGCCTCCAAGCTCATATACACTCTAAGGTCCCGTAAACTAAACTCCAAACCCTAAATCCCCAAAACTACGTAAATCGTGGTAACATCACAGTATGCAAAAGAAAAACGGAGCGACAATGGAGACTCAATGTGAACCCTAGGTTTCCTAAAGCCCCTAAACCCTACATCCCCAAATTCTAAACCCTCAGTCCCCCGACAACTAAGCCCTAAATTTGCTAAATCCGTTATGGCATTCCAACTACTCCGAAGACGGGCAGGCGGAAAAGAGGGTTCAAAAAAAACAACCCTCAACTCCCTAAGCCCTAAACCCTATAGATCCCT